TTTTTTTTTTTTTTTTTTTTTAGCTATTTTATATTTAGCTAGTTGAGAATTACTCAAATTTTGAAATTAAGGTTGTGGTTAAACTAAAAGCAGCAGGACTTGGCTCGCAAAGCTCACAGGCCAGTTTAGTCAAGGGTACTTCCTGCAGGGCTGTCCCTCTTCTGCTTTAGAGTTGTGGTATTTACACACTTAACTTCTTGAATCTCTGTGATAGAGCTAGCCTCCTCTTAGACAGCATGCCTGAAGGGCACAATTTCCTAAGTTGGACTGGACTGCTTGTTTTTGAAGGATTCCTTATCCTTGCTTACAGATTTTTAAGATCTGGGAAGAAGGCTCTGCATATTGTAATATATTATTAGTGAGGTTTGTTACTGGCCTTTTATTCTATGAAGACACTTGTTATCAGATGGGTAGATTTGGAGATTCCCCCCGCCGCCCCAAATATCAACTTCAAAGAGCTCATATAAAATATGTTAAAAGATACAATTTTTTGCTTCAGTATCCTGTATATATTTTTTAATATCAAAAATATGCATTTTTTATTTGAAAAAATCAAATTCTGTAGAATAAAGCAATAATTCCTTTTAGTAGTTTTAATCATCTGTAGTGTACAAAGTGTTAATGTGGTAAATGTTCTAGGAAATTTTGATTTGTTGGGGATTTAATTGCATTGAACTTTCATAAAGTCTCAAAGCTTACAATACTGAGTATCTTAGGCACTGTGGTTATGTAGAAAGAGCACTGGCCCAGGAGTAAGGAACAGGGAGGGGTCCTGGTCCTGCTCTTGCCACTTATTAGCACTGTGACCTTGCACTGGTCACTTTTTTCCCCAAGGTTTAAGTCTCCACACTTGTCAATTGAGAAGATTAGACAACATTGTTCCTAAGATCTGTCCAGCTCTATGAATCTGATTTCTTTCCTATTTCTAGGGTTAGCATAAAGGAATCATCTGTAGCAAAACTAGGATCAGTATGCCGTAGGATTTACAGAATATTTTCACATGCTTATTTTCATCATCGGCAGATATTTGATGAATATGAAGTAAGTATATTTCACTAATTATCCTGATGCATTCTTATCAGAATGACAATAATATACATGGATATTACATGTAGGCTTTTTTGGTTTTGAATAGTAAAATATCTTTTTTTCTTCCTCCTTACAGAATGAAACATTTTTGTGTCACCGGTTTACTAAATTTGTGATGAAATATAATTTGATGTCCAAGGATAACCTGATCGTACCAATTTTAGAAGAGGAAGTTCAGAATTCAGTTTCTGGGGAAAGTGAAGCATGAAGGGAATCATACAGAAAAAAATGTACTGATCACATAATTAACAATAATTATGTACTGTATATATATCGTTTAGACACATCAATCATGTATCCATATTATAGTTTCTTTGTTTAGTATAGGTTTTTGTATGCTGAGTGTTGCCTTTTAAAACGGGAAATACTTTTTAAGTTATTCATGAGCTGTATATTCACCAGTGTGGCACTCATGGTTTTTAAATAAGATTAGTATTATCTGTTTATAATGCCTGTTAATAAAAGAATTTACAGTTTGGTAAAATTGCTGCTAAACAATCATTGGATCACAATCCTCATCAGATAAACCTGTCTATGAAAAGATGAGTGAGCTTGAGGTTTCGCACAAGCCATTTACTAAAGAAATAGTAATATTTTCCTTTGGTTTTACCCCTAGTTTAGATATTCTAGAAAATTCTGTAGTACATAGTTCAGTCTTAACTGTTAACTTTTCAAAAATGAGATGAAAGTGTTTTCAAATTCTGTTTATAGTTTTTGATACACATATATGATTATGTGTATAATCCAAATATAAATGCAAATGAAGTATTAGTAATACCTAAATAATTTTACTGTGCTACATAAAGTATATTCTAGACCAGCATACTTGGAAAGGACTTACCTTTCTGCAGCAGTGGACTGTTAGATACAAGATGATGATAATGATAAGGCATGTAAATGATGTTCCCACTGGAAACCTGCCCTGCCCTTCTCATTTCCCTTAATTCCTTACCCAAACTACATTAGCTGGGAAGCTTTTCACCAGACTGTGATTTAGTGTGGCTTCTACCTATTTATATTTGTATTAATTGCTTACAGATTATACCTCATATTAGCAATTACATTACACTACAGGAAAAATGTATTGGCATAGGCTCTTGCTTATCTTTGTTTTGCAAAATTGTTCTAATTACGGAAAGCACTCTTTAAGATAGTTTGATTCTTCCTGTTAGTAATATTAATCTTTTCATTTAACCATCTAAGAAACATTTAAGAGTTGAAAAATATTGTAGTATTTATTTTACATCCCTTCCCCACAAAGTTTATGTTTGAATTATATGCACATGTGAGTCTTTTTTTGCAATAATTCACAGCTTCCAAGGGTGTTGAATGGTCATACATTTTTTTGACTTTGTTATAATTCAGTATCTTGAGAAAGATTCAACTGCAGATTTTACAACCTTTTCATCTACTGAATGCAATTTTTAACAAAGCACTGGAGGTCTTATTGCTAAACTGGTTGTAATGAGGCACTAAGGGCAAAAAATTATACATGTAGTGAAGAAAATATTTTAAATCCATCTCTTGAACAGAATTAACAAATGAGAACTTTTTCATTTAAAGGGTTTATTTTGAAATGAAGATGAAAATGTATTCATCTTGATTTTTTTTTTTTCAAATTTAAGGAAATAATTTATACCATACTATACAACAAAGGACGTGTAGCAAATATGTAGGAAATAGCAAACTGAGTGTGTATGTATATATTTATGCCTTTCCAAGCCTGGCAGTGTATTTGGCCTTGAACAGTGCTATCCCAGCAGCCAGTCGTTACTTTAACTCACAACTAACTATCTTTTTAAGAAGTTTTGTGTTCATAGTGAAAGCAATGTTGACTTTGAAATTATGCATTTATATTAATGTCACTAGAAACCAATGGGAGTAGTAATTTTTACACAAACTTGCTAAATATTGAGAGACTAAACTACTAAGTTAATAAATTATATATAGCAATGTAGCTGTTCTCTCTAGATGGTGTCTCACAATGGATTTCTGTTGCTTGATTATTTTCATAGTAAACATTTGAACTAAGGCCGTGGCTGGGATTGGTGATCTGGCTAAGTATATTGAAACACATTCTGAATAATAAGACTTGGTGTTAACGGGGAAATAAAGTATGTTTTTTCTTACTCATTCCATTTTCCCTGTACTGTGTGTTTGGAATTGATCATAAAAAAAAATACCCCAAAAAGAAAACATCAGTTTGTAGGCTTGCTTTTGTATTCACATTGAGGTCTTACTCATACTCATTGTACCATGAAATTGACTCACTGTACTAGGTATAAAACCTAAATGAAACAGTTACTGTTTTTCCTTAACACTCTTTACAGAATTTTGAAAATACACATGTATGTACATAAGTGGTATTAAAAAATTAACCTGACAAAAGATTGATTTATACAGTAAATCTAAGAAAGGAGGAAAAGAAAACTCGCAGTTCTGTGCAATAAGGAAATTAGGCTGCACTTTTTTTTTTTTTGATTATCCAATATAGATCCCAAAATTAAAACTTTCCATGAATTTTGCTCCTATAGTCAACTCACTCTTAACTCACTCTTTCTCCTGTCATAACTGGGAAAGTAGCTAACTTTATGTTTCTGTAAGTGTCCTAGTTCTCTTTTGTGTGTACATTTTCCCTGACTTGAGGTGTTAACTTTGCATTTCTCAGTTTCTCAGTTAAATTCTTAATGAGTTAATGCTTTCTAATAGAATCAAATTAGAAATCCGTGATTACATAGGGCAGCTGGGTGGCTCAGTTGGTTAAGCGTTCAGCTTTGGCTCAGGTCATGATCTCACAGTTTTGTTCGTGAGTTTGAGCCCCATGTCAGGCTCTGTGCTGACAGCTGGGAGCCTGGAGCCTGTTTGGATTCTGTGTCTCCCTTTCTCTCTGCCCCTCCCCTGCTTGTGCTCTCTCTCTCTCTCTCTCTC